GGGTTGCTATAAAAGGAGAGGGAGGCGCAGCCTGGCGGGGGGAGGGCGTCGTTGTGGGTCGCCTCTAAGCGGTCACGGCGAGGGGCGCTGCCGCTTCTGTCTGCCCGGGGACCACCCCGCTGCCCGGAGGGCTGCGCTGCCTCGGAGACCGCCCCGGGCGGCCGCCCGCCGGCTTCGTGACGGGCGAGCGGGCTGTGGGGGTTAGAAGTCCTCTTCCCGCTGTTCCCCGCGCTTCTGGGTCCGTCATAAGTTACGCTGTGCATGGGTATGAAAGAAGAGGCCAAGTTACATCCTGCAGGGTCCTTGGTAGGCATTGAACCAGCCGCTCCGTGGTACAGGAAATCACAAACGCAAGTTGGAAGAGTGCTTCAGCCCTCTTCTAGTTTTTAGTAGTAAAAAGCCTAAAAATAACAAATCTTACTTAGTCACCATGCCAAGCACACGGTGATTCTGAACAAGTGGTAGGAGCCAAGTTTCCTGAGTAGCATGCTGGTTATGCAAAGGCTGTTTTCAGAAGGTAACTTCTACGAAGTAATATTGTTAACTAGTAATACTTAATAATTATCTAGTGCTTTTCATTTTTTAAATTCTTCAGAAATTGCAATGTGCACGATGTGGCAGGCATATTTTTTAAAAATAAAACTGATTATGGAAAGTGATGCAGTAAGGTGGAGTGACTTGTCAAGACAGTGTAGTCAGTCATTGACAAGCACAGTTACAATGCCTTATCCCTGATCATGCTTTCCTTTGATTCATTCTGCTTGTGAAGATTTGCATCTAAAATGTTTTTAAATACTTTATTGATCAAGTGTAGTTCTTTTGAAGACATGCCTCCTTGGGTTCAGAGCTGTAAATCTGAATGCTGCAGAATTGTGTGCATGTGAACTGACAAGTAAAACTAACTGAAAACCCCATTGGAATTTGGCTTGAAAGCTTTTTTTTTTTGCCAGTCAAAAGCAAATAGACTTGTTTATTATGATGTGCATATGTTTACAGTATCACTGTATTTTGTAGGATAATTTCTATGAAATACTGGAGATTGTGATTTCTCTGTGAATCACACAGGTATAACTGTCATAAAAGCTGAACTGCATCCTTGGAGCAACTTACTTAGAAATTCAGCAATTTCAGTCTTTGAACAGAAGGGGGAAAACTGCTTAAAGACAGTGGGTAAAATCTTTTCTTCAGTGAAGTTAATAGCAAAAAAAACCCCAAAAAACCTAAAACCCAAACCACCAAACTTTCCCCTCAGTTTTCAATTCAGTAAATTCAGTCTGTGATAGATTTTTTTGGTTGAGGGTGGGTTTTTTTTGTTTTTTTTTTAAACTGAATAGGTTAGTTACCAGATTTATCTTTTTATATCAACACCTCTAAGTTGCTTTATGAAGCATGATACAGTGATCTCTGTAGAATCATTTATATAAAAGTTGAAGGCACAACATCAACAAGACTTAAGAGGAACGGCTGAGGGAACTGGGGTTGTTTAGCCTGGAGAAGAGGAGGCTGAGGGGAGACCTCATTGCTCTCTACAGCTACCTGACAGGAGGTTGTAGCAAGGCGGGTGTCAGTGTCTTTTCCCAGGTAACAAGCGATAGGGCAAGAGGAAACAGCTTCAAGTTGCACCAGAGGAGGTTTAGGTTGGATATTAGGAAAAACTTCTTCACCGAAAGGGCGGTCAGGCACTGGAACAGGCTGCCCAGGGAAGTGGTGGAGTCCCCATCCCTGGAGGTATTTAAAAGACGTGTGGATGTGGCACTTAGCGACATGGTTTAGTGGTGGACTTGGCAGTGATAGGTTAACGGTTGGACTTGATGATCTTAAGGGTCTTTTCCAACGCAAATGATTCTATGATTCTATAAAGGTTCACTTAGATCATTTGGATAATTTACATATAAAGCTATGCTGATCCTCAACACTTTGCAGCTGTACTTTGTCACAGAACACTTGGTTTATATCTTTCAACAAGTCATTTAAGTGCTTTGTGCATAATTTGCCTATCTGTATGACAGATGTACTGCTCACCTAGCCAAGGTGGTATAAGTTTCCTTGGTATGGTTAAAGCTTCACAAGATTAACTGAGGAGGTTCCTCCTTAAACATATAATGTGTTTGCACATCCTTACCAGGAGAAGCTTATTGGTTTTAGATATCTGTTTGACTAATGTTCTCTTCTGTTAATGTTTTCATTTGTTAACAAATACACTGTAGGAAGTTACAAGCTGTTGTTTTTGATGATAGTTTTGCCTTATTACTTTGTTTTAATTTATTTATTTGCTTTCTCATCACTACTACTTCATTATGCGTAGCAACAACAATTTTCCTACTTAGAGAATAGGACGTAAATGCCACCGAAGACTGGTAGCATCTTGATAAGTGACAATTGGAGAGGTTACTCAAACTGATCTTTTCGGTAGGTGCACAGAAATGAGCACCTGCCACTTTGCTAAGCACAGACATATGTAATTCACTACAGTAGAGTTTTGTGTTTTTCAGATTGATACCAAATATTTTTTTAACACTGGCATTTTTGTTTTGTTTTTGTGCTTAGCAAGCGCTCAAAAGATGGCAGAAAGCTGGTCTTTCTTGGATGCTTTTGAGCCTGACTTCAGGCCTCTGGTAGTAATTGAGCTTGCAAAAGGCACCAAAGAGGAAACCATACAATGGTTCACTGATCGAATTGTGGACAAAAAAGGAAATGGAGGTGAGTATAGTATGATCTTCTGTAACACTTTGAAATTAAATTGGCTGTCATCATCATAATAAGACATACAGAAAATTAGTTCTCAGGTAATGTGGTTTAGTTATTGTTTAGCCGATCACACTCCATTTTGCATTTTTGAAGTTGTTTAATTTTATGTAAGAGTAGAGCTTCATGCTGGTGTCATGAAAATCTACTGAACCCTATTAACCTGGTTATTAATGAAATATTGGCTTAAGGTCACATGCCTGTTGAACTCTAGAATCCTTCCGTTTTTGCAGTGAAACCTTGATAACCTGTCTTTGAACGTAGTTTTGATAGCAGTTTTTATGTTGTCTAGAGCATGTTTCTCTTGTTGCTTATGAGAACGTTGTAAGCCTTGCCAAAATGAAGATGCCTCACATCTACTGTCCTGTCCACAAGACTTTGTACCGTGTTGTAGAACAGAATTAAGTTAGCAGGAAGCAATTTAATCTTGATAAATTCATGTTGGATTTTAATTATCTTTTTGCTAGCTTGTAGGCTCTTACAAAGACAATATTTCATTACTTGTTTTAGTATACTTCCAGGAATTGAAGTTAGGCTAATTAATTTGTAATGCCTTAGACTTTTTTTTTTTTTTTACATTTTTTAGAAAGGCATTATTTATGGTTATCGTAGCTTCTATCTTATGATCAGTAATATTTCCGTGGCTATTGGATTTGTGACTACAGACTTGCTTTCAGGCTTCTGTTAGATAACTCAGGGATGTTTCTATTTCAAAAGTCTAGTCTCCTTAAAACGAGTGGGACTGTTTGCAGAAGCACTGGTGGCTTACATGATGTGAGCATGACAGCAGATCCAAACTGTCCCCATTGTTCCAGTTCACTGTCTGTAAGCGCTTCCACAGAAACAGGGCTGAATCAGGGGGTGACCCTGCAAGGTTCTGAACACCGCACGTCAGGTGCTGTTGAAGCCTTAATTCTTTGTGCCCTTAGAAAGATGCAGCTTCAGCGCTCCTGATAGCTAGGTCCAACATGATGGATGCTAAAATACTAGGTTTTTGAGATGTAATTTTTATGTATTCTCTTTCTTACTTTGCCTTTCTTTACTTTAAAGGTGCACAACTGCTGGTTAAACCATTGGTCACGGAAAATGGAAATGAAAATATTTATCTAGTTGGAGCTTCTCACTTAAGGCTGTTGCTGGGAGCTGAAACTGTGGGTTTGGTGAAGGAATGTAATGATAACTCAATGAGAACTTTCACGTACAGTAGTAGAAAAACTTTCAAAGACTTTGCAGGTAAGCAATTTTGAGGGGGCTTTGTCATTGCAAAGCTGTGGCTAAAGATTATGAGCAATTACACCATTAAATTTTTCAGTTTCTTCCTGTTCCTTGGAATGGTAACAGTGAACAGAAATAGGAAGAACAAGCCATGAAAAAAAAAAAATACTCATTTTTACCTATGGAAACTCAGATCATATATTGAAATGATTTTTTTTTTCTTTCACATGGCTTTCACTTTTTGCTTGTGTTTTATTTTATGTTTTTATATGCTCCAAAAAGTCTCGTATTTGTATGAAAGATTTTTGTTGCAAATAAGACAAGAAAAAATAGTTGATAAACATGAGTGCAGGATTAACAATCAATGTTATGAATTAACATAGGAATTTAATTTCTGTGAGCCAGTTTTGAGGCTTATTGTATTATAATTAGCTGGAGAAAATAGAAACATTTTTCTCCATTATATTTACACATCAAACAGAATTAAATAATTAAATAACACTACAGAGCCATTCAATGGAATTTGGGCATGATTAGTGAAATCATTCCTTTTCCTCTTTTATTTTGAGGAGGTGCCAGCACAGTAACATTTTCTTTTAAATGTACTATCTGCATGGTATTTAACCCTCCTACAGTGGCAGAACTAATTTTGCTCTCCAGGTAAATATTGGAGTTCCAGCTTAGTCTTCCTAGTACTTTTTATGTGCCTGTTTCAGTGATGCCTTTCACCACATTTTCAGCATAAAGGTTCTTGGATCTGTCTGAAACAATAATAAAGTTGAGTTTTGTGGTTTGTTTGATGCCAGTTTATTCAACACTGCTACTGTGTGCAATAACTGTTGCAGTGTCTTGTCTTTTGTGACCTTGCTTTCCTGAAATTAGGAAGCCTGGAGAAGAATTGTCAGTTGCAAAGGTGCCATTTCTGTTTCTTTCATGTGTTTACATTCTTAATGCTAATCTGACTGTCTCTAGTAGCAGCTGGAACTCCAACTACTGTAAATCTAAACAATATTGTTTTCTGTATCTCCTGGCCTTTTTTCTTTTTTTAAACACTAATATAATTTTAGTTTTGTCCAGATCTGATCAGAGGATAAAATAGTTGACCATGCTTAGAGGAGGTGAAAAATGTGTCATCTACAAAAGAAAGCCTGCAGCCTGTGTTGTCTTACTAATATTTCTAGTTCCCCAATTTAACTGATACCATGTTCTTATTCTTTGTATTAGAGATTTTTTGTTTTTTAGCTTCTTACTTAGTGTATTTAGGGCCATCCCTATAGTTTCTTATTCCTAAGGGGAAAAAAAATTATCAATTGGTTGTTATCTCAAGGAAATGAGACTCTTCTTCCTTGATGATAAACTGATGGGGTTGACAACAGGTTTGTTGCTGTAGCTCTGCAGAATTTGGGATTTTTGGAAAGGTTTCTTATCGTTTTACCTTATTTCTGTATTTTTGAGCTAATTGTCTCAAGTGGCTTATCATTATGTTATGTGGGCAATAACGAGCAAGATACCGTGATATTTGGTGTGAAATGCTTGCTGAAAAGGAGATTTGTCCTGAAACCTTACTGGTTTTCGTTATGAAAATACTTTAGGAACTGTATGGCAGAAAGGGGTATGGAGATTCTGAGATTGGCGAATAGTGGATGCCTACGTAAGAGTCTTTCAGCAGGGCAAGAGCGTGTAGTACTTGCTGGTATACTATCCTAGCCTCCAGCAATTAGTACTTCAGGGGGTCCTTGTCTCTTGAGTGATTTGTTCTCTTAGTTCACCTGGGTAGTCAAAAACACAGTGGCCAACATGTGGCAGTTAGAGAAAACTTCTTTCCAAGGTATTTATTTTAAAAAGTAGAGTTTTTCCTAATGAACGTTGGTGGGCAGTAATTGTGACTTTTTTTCGTTTTCTGTTTCTGGTCATTTTTGGTAGTTATTTGCTGCCAGGGTTGTCTTCCTATGCTGCACAATTTCATACTACCTTCTTTTTGATTTAGATGACAATCACAATTTCCTTACGGTGGCAGAATGTCAGTATATCATCAAACATGAACTCGAAAATTTGAGAGCTAAAGATGAAAAAATGATCCCTGGATATCCTCAGGCAAAGCTGTATCCAGGAAAATCAATTGGTAAGCAATGTATTTTGTTGCCTGTAACTCAGTGTGTTGATGCAGGATAGTGTTCGTGGTGAAAACCCCTTAATTTTCCTGCAATGAAGAGAAATACTTTAGACATTAAAGTCCTACTTTATCAACTTTGTTTTCTCACTGCTCCACAATGATAGGACAAGAGGCAATGGATGCACAGTGCAACAAGAGAAATTCTGAACGGATATTAAGAAAGTGTTTTTTCACAGTGAGGGTAATAAACATTGGAAGAAGGTTTTGGAGAGATTGTGGTAACTCTGTCCTGGGAGACTTTTAGATCTTGCCTAGAGGACAAGGCCCTCAGCAGCCCGCTTTAAGCTGGACCTGCTTTGAGCAGGAAGTTGGACCAGGTGACTTCCAGAGGGCCTTCCAACCTGAGTCTTTCTGTGGGACTGAGACTCTGGCCTTATGTTCTTTTCAGCTGGATAATTTTCATGTATATTGATGTCACTCATTATTTTTATAACGAGTACCAAAAATATTTGTTTTCAAAAAATTACGTAACTATATGCTTGGGTTGTCGCTGTATGAAAATACTGGAATGAGTAACAGTGTTCCAGAGCTATACATTTTACAATGTGAAGGAAGGAAGTTTTATTTCATTCATTTGACTTCATTTATCCTCCTTTTTGCTTCAAGAGCTCTACCTTTTCATGGGAGAAGGAAGCAAGGAGAGCTAGTGCTATTTTTATGGTAGCTGGAACTAGTTCATTGGCAGAGATGCTACAGTTTCTTAGGAGAGTTTATCTTTTAATATTTGTGTGTCCTTTTAATAAGTGTCTTTATTCATTAATGTTGGTCATCGAAGAAACAGATCTGTGCATGTCAGTGGTTCAAGAAATGTAAATAAATGTAGATGTCAGATGAGTTTACATTAGTAATTTTTCATATAGCTAAGGTATTTTTCTAGTTATGTCAAGTAGATGCTGATGGGAAATAGTAAAAAACTATCACACAACTTCCAGTGCCTCCCCTCTCCTGTTTTGGAATTTATTTTCTTTTTTAATATTTCTACAGTCGTAACTTCTGGAGCAGTTTGTTAATTGTTTATCAGCACAGGTAGTATTGCTTTCCATAACAAAATGAAATACAAATTGTGGAATACAACACATCTTCATTGCAAAGAAACCAAAAAATTTATGAATTAGTATCAATTGATCATTCAAAAATGTTTTTAGTATCTTTTCCCATAATTAATACAACAATGGCTCTTCAATTTACTGTTTTGTTTTTGCTATGTCAATTTGATTCGTTATACCTGTCTTTGCTCAAATGCAAGAGCTGGACCTTTCCCCACAAAGCTACACATGGCATTTCAGTTCTGACCTGTAGCACTTTTTGTTATTCAAGCTGCAGCTGATTATAATGCAAACCTATGGAATAGTTAATAGATGTAAGAAGGTTACTCTTTCTTTTCCAGTGGACAGTAGAGTCTTTGTAGGAATAGGTAGAACTGCTCTCTATAATGGATAATTTTTAACTAACATGCAGACATTTTATTTGTTTTTAGGTTTTAAATGCTAGATTTATTTCAAAGTAACTTCAGGCTTGCTAAGTACATAATGTAGCCTGTTTGCTTATATCAACTTCACTGTCCTTTGAAGGAGTAGTAGGTACCTTTTTTTTTTTTTTTCTCTTTTCCTAGTGAGAAGATTATTGACCAGTGGTATTCTAGTTCAGATTTTCCCACTGCATGACAGAGAAGAGTTGAAAAAGCTCCGTCACAGCTGGTATGGCCGAGTCAAAGTTGGCTATCAACCTTTAGGTATGTGAACACTCACTTCACTACAAATAAAGTGCAGCGTTTCTTCTGGAGAAGTTTTCTCTTCAGTTTGTGTGAGAAGACCAAGGGTCCTTCCTAACTTGTACTCTAGCATTTAGCCTTTATAAAAGTGAAACTCCTCTGTGGAAGGTAAGTATTGTACAAATATTGCTGAAGGGAATGTCTTGGCCTGGGTGTGCTATCTGACATCTTTAAGATATCAATATACCTTTCCATCTATTCCTTTAGTTCCTTGAAGGCTGGCAAAGCACAATTAGTCCTTTTTGGCCCTGAGCAGGCTGAAACAAATTTGTTTCCCAGGTGTACGTATACCAGTGAGAAGCTTCAGAAGTTAGGTGTCACTGACTGTTAAAGTTTGTTTTTATACCACGTCTTCCATGCCATCCTAGCAATTCATTGATAGATTCAGTTTTCAAGAGTGCTAGTGTTTTGGGGTTTTTTTCCCCCTCTGGATATCTGATGTTGATATGATAAGTATTGAGATATTTGACTTCTCTACCATGTGAATATACGTATGTATGTTTGTGTGTGTGTGTATATATAACATAAAAAAAATTTCAAATAACCTTCTGAGTTTTTGGAATGTGGGAGGAGGAGGAACAAAAAAGCAATAATATTCATTGTGGTATTTAGGAAAAAAACCTGGGCCAAGGGATTAATGTAAAGTCAAGTTTGATGTTATAGTGACATCTATGTTAAGTGTAGTCTTAATTGATTCATTTTTCTCTGCAGATGAGATACGCTGCTACTTTGGCGAAACCATTGCTCTCTACTTTGGCTTCTTAGAGTACTTCACATTTGCTTTGATTCCAATGGCTGTCATTGGGATTCCGTATTATGTGTTTGCATGGGAGGACTATGACAAATACGTGATGTTTGCCACATTCAACCTGCTCTGGTCCACTGTGATACTGGAAGTTTGGAAGCGGATTTGCGCCATCATGACATACCGTTGGGGGACGCTGTTGATGAAACGACAGTTTGAAGAACCAAGACCAGGCTTCCATGGTGCCCTGGGTATCAATCCTGTCACTGGGAGGGAGGAACCAGTGTACTCAAGTATTAAGAGACAGATACGGATTTATCTGGTGTCCTTACCATTTGTGTGCCTTTGCCTCTACTTCTCACTGTACGTGATGATGATTTACTTTGACTTGGAACAGTGGGCTCTGGATTATCATGAAGAGAATGAATCTAACTTCAGCAACTTGATGCTGTTTGTGCCCAGTATCATATATGCTGTTGTGATTGAAATTATGAACCGTATCTATCGGTATGCTGCTGAATTCTTAACATCATGGGGTAAGAAAGTTGTTTGTTCTTCCTTAAAGTTAGAATCCCAGATGTTTAGAATTTGTTTCTTTGTAGACTACGTTACTGTGAGTTCTTGTTCAATGGAATGCTAAAGAAATTTCCTGAAGTAGATTTTTAGTGTGGGGTAAAAGAGATGGCCATTTTAACTTCATACATTTGTTTTGAGGGTTCTGAGACTGCAGTTTCATGTTTGGTTTAATTTGGTCCGAGTCTAGCATGCCATCAGAAGGGGTGATCCTGCCTTCTTCCTCAGCCTCTCTCTGCCTTTGGTGCAGAAGTCCCCCTTCCCTGATTTCGCTCTTTGTTTGGCTCTATCAGCCATAGAGCTGGGGAAAGTGGCAAGGTGAGGTCATGAGGATAGGAGCTCAGAGGTGAATGGCAGGAGGGACTGTCCTGGCAGCTTGCGTCCACAACCTGGGTTTGCTGAATACATTTTATTCTACTGATGTATCTGTGCAGAGGACAGAGGCACTGAGATAATGGAACAAAATGTAAAAACATAACTAAATGCCATATGAAAGTGTTTGTATATGCTATATGTGTAACAAAGAGATTTCACATCCCTATCAAAATATTTTCTGCTGAGCACTCTCAGAAGAGGAGGAATGTTGCAATAGATGGTCTTGTTTTCCCTGTGTGTGTGACTTATTTAACAGTTTGGGCCTTATGTTTTGTGACCTAACATAAGGATAATGAAATGTTAGTGTTTATTTTGAATTTTAGCACTTCTACAGACATGTGCAGTCAATTTCAGACAAAGTTAATCGATGAAGCTAATGGGAAGTTAAGTGTTTTGTGTAGCTCAATATGGCATACATTTAAAAGACAGAATCCAGGTTACTAAAGCTGGAGGCCCAGAAAATTAACCTAACAAAAATTAAGCAAAAGGGAGAGTGATGCAGAAGACAAAGTAAGAAGAGGGGTTGAAGTGGGGATTGGTCATGCGTGGCAAAATGACTTGCTCAGCAAATTCAACTTGACAGCAGCAATAGTAAAACCAAGCAATTTCTTGATTTGTTTATGACTGTTCAAGGGTTTTATTTAAATAATGACTTTTAAATTCATATCTAGGTTTCGACTGACTGTTTTGTTTCATTTTTTTCACTGTACTACAAGAAAAAGTCTTTATGCAAAATGCCCAGTTGTGTTGATCAGGTAGACTAAAATGTCTTTTACAGGTAAACCAAGTTTTTTTTAACCCAGATTGTTTTGGTTTTAAGCTGATGTTTGGTATTTAGCAGCAACAGTATTTATGTAACTTACTACACTGACAGCTTGTGCCTTTTCTGTGCTATCCAATGTGTTTATGCTGCCATGCTGTGAATAGGATGAAGAGCGCATCTGGCTGTCCTACCTCCCTTCCCACCTGGCGTATTTTCAGCAAAGATCTGACTTAAACAGCTAAACTGGCAAAGCATAGGAAACAATCTGGGGTATTTTTAAGCACATCTCTTGCACCCATTTATCATGAGAACTGATCAGTTAGTGGAAAAAGTAAAAATTGCATTCAGTCCCCCGAGTGCATCTTCCATGTGTCAGGCCCAACTTCATGCTCTGTTGGAGTAGAACTCTGCTGTTCTGTCCTGAGCAAGGTCTGTAGGTGATGGTCTCTCCTTTCAGCCTTGTGGCGTGTTGCTCACGCTAGCGTGCTGCCTCCTGATTCAGTTACTGCTTACCCAGGGCTTTTAAAGGTACAATCTGACAAAATAGCAAAAAGAAATGCAAACCATTCGCTTCCCTGTCCTCCCCCTCTGGTAACCAGCCTTCCTCAAACATCAGCTTCTGACAGTTTATCTTGAATGAACTGAAAATTTTAATTTTAGAATGAGTAATGCATGAGTTGAACTTCATGTACTCTAGTTTTGCTTTAGAGCTTAGGGTCTGATCTAAATTCCTTGGAGATGGATGGCAGTATTTCTGTGAGCATTTACTGGTTTTGAATAAAATCTGGTATTGTTATTTTTCATAATGTATTCCAATTAGTTTTGCATTTGTTTTCAGCCAAAGAAAAATCAATAACTAGGCACATTTTATTAAGTGTTAAGAATGATGGATGGTTTTTCTGTTATAAAACAGCTCTTCTGAGAAAGAAAGATGTAAAAGGAAAAACCTTTGCAGTAGAAAAAATACCGGATTTGCAGCTAAAAATATGTATGTCAATATTGTGCATCAAATTAACTTTATACGTTAAGTGAGGTACTGGTACAGTATAAATTCTTTTTGCCATAATGTGTTGAAGGAACTATTCCCCATAACCTATTAGTTAAGTAATTTTTTGGTGGAGGAAAAATGTCTGTTTACTTTTTGTATAACAATGTCTAGTATATGGTAAATGCTTCTGCGGTTTACTGATTAATAATTTTGTTGGTATTTTAGAAAATCACAGGCTGGAATCTTCATATCAGAATCATTTAATTCTGAAGGTTTTAGTGGTAAGTATGAAGCATAAGCAGCATTTAAGGTGATTTAAAAAAAGAACTTGTCATGTGTTCTATTAGTGCTTTCCTAGCATTACCTCACTGACCTACGGTTTTGTTCAAGGCCAAATACTAGCACAAATATCAGAGTAAACAGGATTTCTGTTGTGGTTGCAGTAACTGCTAGACTGTTTTAGATGCCTCTTTTTATAGTGGAGAGTTGGGTTTTTATTTGTATTGATTTGTTCTTTCATTAGAATCCTGTAGACATAAGTTTTTCTGTTAGTTCACGTGGTCCTGTCTTCGACTGGAAACTATTCCTTTCACTTTTTGCAAGATTTTATGGTAAACCCGTATTTTAAAAAGTTCATGTATTAACTGCCACCTGTACTAAGATTCAGACAACCAGTCAGAGGAGGCTGGAGATATATATTCATCAGTCTGCTCCTGTGCAGTTTATAGTATATACTGATCTATTCACTTTGTGGCTCTGAACAAGTAGCTTTTGTGTGTGTATGTATACATGTTTGGTAGCTCTTTTAGGTGTATATCCAGATGCAGCAGCACTGATTCTAAGGAAGTGTACTGTAAATCTTGAATTCTCATGTAAGATGTTCAGTAAAAGCAGTTGTAAATATTGGCTGATTTTGAGATTTAATCTTCTTCTTTCCTTTTTGAAAAGATCACTCAGTTCTCTTCCAGAGTTCCCTTATTTTCGCCCCTCAACTCAGCATGCTTTTTTTTTTTTTCTTTAATCTGCTTGTTATCCTTCTGTTACTGGTAACCTTTAGAGCTAAAACACTTGTACGTATCATTTATAGCTTTGCCTCTGCCTTTCTTAAAAAATAGCACCCTCTTTTTCCCCTGTAGGAAACTTATATAAAATAATTTAAAAAAAAAAAAAAAAGTCAGATGTAGACCCCCCCCCAAGTTTCAGTTTCAACCTATGAGTGGCTCTCTGCACTCCCCAATATTATCTATGTCATCCATGAGCTCCACCACTGATAGCAAGTAGGAAAAGTTTTCTCCTACTTCAGAGCTTGATTATGATTTTTCAGATACAATACTGTGATTATGTCTCATTTTAGAAGCAGGGAATATTTCTCTTAGTCGTAAAACCTCTTGAAGTGGTTAAACATAAAGCTCAACTAACATATATCGAGGAACGGTTGGACATATTGAGAGATATGTCATCCAATGCATATATTTTGATAAAGTATTTCTTTGGGGGGGAAAAAAAAAAATCATTATCCTAAGTGAAGATGAATACATCCCTCTTATTGCATTACCTGTGGGGAAACTGCCAAAAGATGAAAGTTAAGTAGAAGGTGATATGTTTTTAATGTCCACATTTCTTTTTATACCGTGCTTTAGGAAAGCATTAAGCTTGTCAAATGACAATCTGAGTAGGACCAACATTGAAAATGAGGCTTTTCTGAGCAAAGTTTTAAAAATGATAAAGAAAATTTTAATAGACATGGAAGCTGTTTAGTCAAGGTAACTGTTAAGTTAGATAATATTCTGCATTTGAACTTTTGCTTGAGTACTAATAACAAGTATTTTTAATTGCAGTTCAACTTCTTAAATTGTTTTGCATCTCTCTTCTACATTGCCTTTGTGCTATTTGATATGAAGCTTTTGAGGCAGGTGAGTTCCAAGAACATCTTAAGAATGTTGATCAATCTGGGAAAATAAAGGATTGATTGAAATAGGACTTCAGTTTTTAATTGTTTTTCTAAAATATATATGAAATATATTCATTGTGGAGTTAATATTTTCTTACAAATCCAGCTTCCATGTTTCAGTTCCTCTAGCACAGTTGCAGAATCATAACAGAGTAATGTAGAGCAATTCTTTCACTCCATATACATGAGAAAGTATTTTCAAATAAATTGATTATTCCCTCACACAGATGAGGCTGGAAAATTTTAATTTCCTCCTTCTTTCCCTTTATATTAGAAAATGGTTTTCTCGGTATTTTTCTTAATGAGAGACTCTTGAGGATAGGAGAACGATTACGTTTATGACTGCAATGAGGAGCTGGGAATAAATAAAAGCAAAAATAATGTGTAGTTGGTATTTGAAATCAGCTTTCTGTTGTTGACATCCCTTGAACACAAACGTATGAAAATCAGGTATAAGGAAAATATTTGTGCTCTAAATATAGTGGACAAAAGAACAAGAACTTCAGCTTAAGAACTCTGTTCCTCTAAAGAGTTCTCTAGCAAAACACTTGACAGATCTATACCAGATATGACATTCATGACATTTCTTATACTTTAAGGTAAAAAGCAAGAAGAAAAAAAATAGAAAAAATGTCATTGTTTAGCTCTGTTATTGGTGTTGGTATAGGTTAAGTGTGTATCTTTGCCCTTCGTTGGAGTTTGTGTACTGTCTCCAAGATACATCCAGATCCACAAAATATTTAGACATCTAACTCCTATTTCTTCCTTTTCAGCACATAGCAAAGAATGGGAGCTAGATCAGCTGTACTTTTCATATGCTATTGCTAGTTTTGTTAGGCTGGCCGCCTCTTGTCAGAGTATAACAACTTACAGTATTACTAGAACACACAGAATTGGAAATGATCATAGTTTATCACAGATCTATTAATTCTTATTCTTTTTCTTTTTTTTTTTTTTTTTTTTTTTAACTTAAGAGCTTGGCCACTTTGCTGATAACTTCGCAGATCCTTAATCAGTTTGCAGAATCCTTGCTTCCTTACTGGCTCCAAAGGAGACATAAGAAGAGGATGAAGAAACACATGAGTTCTCTGAAAACAGATACGGACCTGTCATTAGTCGAACAAGTCAACTTGGAGAAAGAAATGGGCACCTATTTTGTATGTTTTACTACTGTAAAAGAGTTAAAAGTTTTCTGGGCTGTAGTTGACAGAGACATCAGCCAGTGCAACCTAAAATATTCCTGGCTGTCTGGCCTAGCAGCTTATTTCCAGCTTCATCAATTTTGCTGGTAGTGTTTATACAGCTATATGGTGCACTGGATCAAGAAACTGATGCAGTGCAGCATCCCAGTTACACCAGCACGAAGGGGTAGCAATGAACAGCTGAATCTGGAGCTACCTAACGCTGTATCACTGGAAGAAGTATTTGTGTAATATGTGGTTAATCTCCAAGGCTAGCCTGGAGGCTACCAGGATGAGTAGCCTGTCATAGGGAAGGGGGTGGCTGTTTCTGTTTTCGTTTGTTTTTGCAGTGATACTAGTTTAAACTGTCAATTAAACTATAGCCTGAGAGAGTGCCCTCTTGTCTGGGTGGGGCCAGAAATGGAGAGGGCAGAAGAGACCAGTTCTTCAAACCAATACTACTGCTGCTCCGGCATTCTCTGTGTTCCTAGTTCCGTTCCTGTCCACCTCCTACCCAGTGCCATTTTTAATTGTGTTTAGCAGACTTCGTGCAATTAATTTCTTGCAGTTCTAAAGGAACTGACAAAGTAGACATTAGTGTGTGTGTGTTAAGGCCTTACACACTGGCTGACAACTTGCTTGATCAGATGCTGCAAGCATAGTCACAAGAGGCTTAATACTGTATGATTTATACTTTTACAGGGTAAGAATTATATGTAGATAGTGTACCTTTTATGTAAAAGGTTGAGAATAGCAGGTTGAAATTCGGTATCAATACCGCATCAGATTCCTCTCTTCCTGCATAAAGTGCCATGAAATGGGAAGAGGAAAAAGAAATACTACCTTTGCAATTGAAAAACTATGCAAACGTTAATACTTAAATTCCTCTGGGAAGGCTGGTATTTCCCACATTTTATATGAGGAGAGATAGACTTAGAGAGCGTGGCTATCTTACAATAGAGAACACAGCAGAAGTCCCCAGGTTAGTGTCTGTCTGACCTGGTGAATCGACGCAGTCCAGCGCTGTGCCTGCGAACAGACCAGCACAGCTCCATAAGCTGTGTATCGCCATCAGGCGTTGGTCTGCCTTACCAAATGAGCTCTGCCTTTTAGACCTGAGCCGAGTTCTGATTCTCATCTGGCACGTACAAAGCCGATGTGGTGTCTTTGAGTTACGTTGCCCAGTGCTTCTTGTGCAGAGCTGGATCAAATGTATCTGCACCTGTTGTATCGTTCTGCCCTGAATAATTTTCCACGGGGACCGAACAGGTCAATTGTAGAGTTATGACTTTGCCTTGGAGGTATCCACTGCTAGCCTCAGTTTCAGATCAAGGTACTGTGTACTCAAGGCCTTAATTTTATTTTCAATCCAAAGATTTTAATTGTGCTGTGCTTGTGAATACACAATATTAGACCGCTGATTTGTTTGCAAGCAGTGAGCTGTCAGCTGAAAGAGTATTTCTAAAATTAAATCTGTCACAAGGGGGAAGCATTTGACTATGTTTAGTAACTGAGGAGTTTAGCAGGAGTCTTGACAGAATTCAACGTTTCAGGCTCTTCTTTTCTTTTCCTTCCTTCACTTAATCTTTAACATTTAATTTTCTTTTTTGTTTGTCCTCTTGCTCTCTCACTTTTCAAATCTCCAGCCCTTAACCCAGTTTAAGATGTAAAAACATCCTGCAGTCATTTTTTAAATTATTTTAAAAAAAAATTTCTGCTTGTCTCCTCTAATTAATTTTCTCCCTGAATTTCTTTGATTGTGTTTCCTTGATGCCATAGTTTGTGTTGCTTCTGTGGCTGACAATGGCACACTTTGAAATTTCCTTAACATCTTATCAGACTCCTCTCTTCCTGCACAAAGTGTCATAAATTGAGTAGGAGAAAAGGAAATACTCCTTTTATTTTCATACTCTACTGTTCTAAAAGTCCATAGGTACTGGAGAAGGAAATGAGAAGAAAGGTGTGAGGAAGTAGTGGGAATACTGTGCAGTTACCAGAAGGCGGAGCACCAAGGGAAGCGTTGCTCCCTGCCTGCAACAGTTGTCTGAGAAAGTGATAGCGGGGACAAATATGTGACTGCCACTCCCGTGAGTGATCCTGCACAAACGTCCCACTTTGCTAAAATTCAGAGTTTGTAAAAAAAGATTTCTGTGGAAAAATCTCAATGGTTTTAAAAGTTAGGTAGCTCCTTAGGGTCTGGCCTGCAGATCAGTTTGTCGCACCCAGCTACACTACACAACTTAAAAATGAGCTCAAATGAAGAATGCGGCTAATGACCATCCCATGTTGATTTCTGAGCTTGCAGGCTTCTACTGCCTCTCTCTCTTAGCTAGAAAAAAAGCACTAGGTGCTGGAGAGGCAGTCAGTTTAACAGCTATAACCAGCAAAAATGATTAGAGAACCATGCGTCTGATGTATGGAGCCAAAACCAATTTTACATGGTTCTTGTAATAATCTCAGTTACTGTCAAGTCTTTATTTTTAGTATCTCATTTTTGAGAGAGAGGAGAATGTGTGGGTCTGGGCAAATAGCTAGATCCCAGGTTAACTTCTTCATGGTATTTCACCAGCCTTTGTTCAGTGAGCACCTTTTCTTTAAAAATGAATTGGTTTTGTTCTTCGCTTCCATAAATAACTGCTGCAGTCATAGAAAACTATTATTAATACTACAAAACTAATATGCAAATAACCTACATGTGAATACTTAATCAGTATTTAAGTACCCACGTCCTTGGTTTAAAGATCAGGTGATAGATGTGTTGCACATTTGCCAAAATAGGGCTCTTTGTTTGCATTAATTGTTCCTTTCAGATGTCAGTGCTGCGTTCTGTCATTTCAGCCTTCAAGTGGGCCACTAATTCTGACTTCCCCGTTTTGAAATAAACAAGCAGAAATACCAGAAAAGAGTTGCCTATCTACCAACCTACTTTTCTGGTTAGGTCTTTCATGTACAGTCTGAAATACTAGGACTTTTCTTGTCGCAGTGCTCTTACGAGAATGTTCTGCCAGTTTAAATGCGTGATGCTGTTTTCCTATCCCCCACTGTTCCTTCTGTAACTGTTTCCCTGAGACAGTCAGGAACTTGAATGGGATGAATGTGTTTATGCAATTACTTCATGCGATAAGGATAAGAATTGTGACTTGCAGAGAATGCATTAGGCAAAAGGAAAAACCTTCGCCTCCCCTTTATTAAGAAGTTTTGAGTAATTGAATAATTCCAAATTAACTAGATGTATTTTTTGTTGTTTTTGTTTTCTGCCACCGGTCATTCCCAAATAACTGATTTGGGATGAGGAAGCGTGTTTACAACTGTGTTGTTAATTCTGAGTTTCTTCATGTATTTTTTGTGGGTTAAAGTTGTTCTTATTTTTGCTCTGTTTTTCAGGGTACTTTTGATGATTACCTGGAGTTGTTCTTACAGTTTGGCTATGTGAGTCTTTTCTCATGTGTTTATCCACTGGCAGCTGTCTTTGCAGTGTTAAACAACATCACAGAGATATATTCTGATGCCTTAAAGATGTGTAGAGTTTACAAGCGGCCATTTGCAGAACCCACAGCAAATATTGGTGTTTGGCAGGTAATTTTTGTGTGTTTCTTTTTCTATTAATTTGTTTTAAAAGGCATTTCAACAAATGTATGTAAGGTATGTGTTTGACCCATCAGCTGCTCTTAAAGATTAGTAGGTACTTTGTTCTTCAATGCCGGAGGATACTATCTATCCAACTATAGTGGTTTTTTTTGTGGGGTTTTTGATCCCATGTTTTTCAGTTGCCTTTGAAAAGAAAACAAATACTTCCTTTAGTCCTTGTATATGTATGTATTGTTGTCCTGTTGCAACTGCAACAAAGCAAAGCTGCCAGATACTGCCTGGTACTCTTTACAGCCAACATATTTTAGAAATGGTAACATCTGATGCAATGTCAGAAGCATGGAGCTCAGCAAGGGTTTAAAAAAAAAAAATGAAGAATGATAGGTAAGTACTTGGATTCCTAACCCATGCTTGGCTGTGTGCCCTTGTGATTACTGGTACTCAAGCTGACTAATTTTAAAATAACCTGGATCTGTGAGCAGGAGCAGGACCTTTCTGCACAACCTGAACATTGTAGTCTACCTAAACAATTTCATGCTAGTAGCACTGGCTTAAGGATTTTCTGTCCTCAGTTGTTTGCCCATGCAATCATGCTAGCAGCAGCTAGTTTGGAGCCTGCTGAGTGCTCTGCATCAGTGAACTGATTCTGACTAAAAATAACCCTGTAAAACTCCTCCAAAACCAGAGGTTTTTCTGAAAAGAAGGCTATTAAGTCGTGTCCAGAGACTGTAGCATTCTATAATAGCAGTGGCCTGATAAGGAGTGTAAAGTAGTTGGAGGAAATTTCTAGGGGATGATCCATATTCTAGTTTTATTTAACAACTTGTCTTCATTACATGTGATTAGAAAAATGGCACAATAAACTAGTGCACTGTTTAATTTGGAAGGGTTGTAAATGTCGGTATGAAATGAAACGAAGATGAGAGATGAAATCAGGAAACCTCAAATGAAGCATACTGTAAAAACATGCAAACCAAGTATTCTGAGCAATGCATTAGACATGTACATAGGTATTAATGAAGTGGACTTATAGGAGAAGTCTTTTAATAGTAAGTCATTAAAATGTGTAAATTATAATCTGATTGCATTTTAACATCTGATGCATTTTCTCAGTCCAAATCTATGCTGCCAATATCTTGATGACATAGATGCATTGACCACCAGTTAAATGAGGCTGTGGTCATAAGCCCCAAGCGTAACTGCAGGTATATTAATAGCATTTGGTTTTGCTAGAGTAGTTTGTTTCAATCTAGGGAGTAGGCTGAAAAACCATAACACTAATGGTACAGTCGTGTGGGGTTTTTTATAGTGTAGGTTTTTAACTAATAGTAGAAATACATTTGCTTTGTGAATTAAGAATAATGACTTAAAAATTTAGTTATCTGTTTCATGTGGGAAGTTAGAGCATTGGCTGAAAGATTTCTGTTAAAGGAATACCGGAATTATTTTATCAGGTGAGCTGAGTCACCAGCTTGTTGTCAAGGAGAAAGTTACTTCTGCTAATTCATTGTGATAATTGCTACAATTTCATGTCAGTATTTCTCATTCCAGAGAGGACCTTGGAATAAGTAACCATTATATTGCAAAAGTAATTGTCACGCTGTAGTAATATTTTCAGGCATTTTGTGGGAGCTCTGTAGGCAAGAACTTCTTAGACTTGTGCAGTTGCATGTGTTTAAATGTAAATCTTTCTTTCAACAAATTTCAGCTTGTATAACTGGTTGTGATTTAAGAAAGGCTTTCTGAACCATCCTTACATTTTCCTATTACTTAACATTCATAGAAAACCTCCAAAAACAGTGTGTTGGGACTATTAGTTCCTCTAGGAATTTTGTGTTTTTTCCTTTATCCTGAAATAAATTTGTGTTTGGGAGTACAACTGTACATGAGTGCATAATCTTTTATGCGTTCAGATTATGAGTCATGAAGATACCAGGGATAAGGCTGCTTTCCTGTCCACTTTTTTCCTTTAGGATTATTCAGAATTTTTCAGGAGGTGATTTGGCATTACTTACATCTAGGATGTTAGTGCTCTGTAAATAACTTCTCAAGGTCTTTACCGTACTATGGAATTGTGGAAGAATAGCGTTTAACTTCTTCACAGCAAACACACATATACACATGCATAGAGAAATCAAATTAGAGAAAAATTCAGGGTGGCCAGATGGTCTTTGTGGTATTGCAAACCTTGTTGTGTTCTTCTGCTTGCCTTTTCTTAAAGCTGATGAAGTCTGGACTGCTTGCTAAACAAGTCTTATGTCGTAGAATTCAAAAGATGAAGGAAAATAAAAAGTAAAATAATGGGTCTTCTGAGGATTTAATGAAGAGAGAGGTATTGTCCAGAGCAATTTCGGGACTGGTAAATTAGAGATAATGGTCATAACTATAAATATATTTGTGTTTTATTTCAGTTGGCTTTTGAAACTATGAGTGTAATATCAGTAGTCACTAACTGCATACTGATCGGAATGTCTCCACAAGTGAATGCCCTTTTTCCAGACTCAAAAATGGACCTTATTCTGACTGTGGCATTGGTAGAGGTAAGTTTGCCTTCAAATAGTGCATGTTTTTTTGTAGCAAATAACATGAACGACAGTGGAAGTAATACCAGGAGGTAGATTTTTTTTTTTTCCCTCCATATATTAAAAGGTAATGAAGATTTCCCTACCAAACAAGTGTTTCAAAGTTTTTTGATTTCTTTCTTTCTTTTTCTCTGTGTTTTCATGTACTGTGAATGCATGTATGGCAACAACGCCATACTTTTCCATACATTCACAAGATACTGTATATTTATTGCTTTGTGTATTTCAAGAATTTAATAGTACTATTTCAAGAAGGAAAATAACCATATTTTTGTGAACTGGGTGTTTCTTTACTTGGTTTGTGACCCGAGCATATCTTATAAAGACTTCCTGCAATATCTTTATGGATGTTTCCTTTAAGCCGTATCTGAAACAAGTATGTATGATGAGTATAAATACTAGTGATTGTAACACCAGTTGGGTTTCATCTTTTCCTAATTCTATGTAGTAAACATTTGAGTGTTATTCCTTTTCAGGCAAGGAGGGATGACTATGGGCATCTTGTATAATAACTGAGATTGTAGAACTTTTCCTTGATGTACCTTTCTTGTGGAGCTTTCATGTATTGCATTGCTTTGACTTTCAAAATTATGCTATTTTAGCTTTTAGGAATTGAATTACTTTTCTTGTGGCAAAAAGTCTGGGTTGTCTGTGCGTAGTTGTTAAATTGCGTCACCTTACGGAGGTGCAGCAGGAGCACATACTTTGTTGTTTTTATAGGTGTTACGGGTTATGCAATGAATTATGAGCTTGCTTTGAGTTTTATTTCCCAAGCCTTAAGGTTTGCAGAGTGTCAACTGGTTTACTGAAGTTCGAGTCTACAGACAGCCTGATGTATTCTTCTATTATGCGTGTGTGAACATTTTCATTAACCTCAGTCAGGTATTTTAATATAAAGTTAATTTGGCAATTTAAATGTAATGCTATAGTTCATTACTGGACAACATATCCAGAGAGATTGTATTATGAAAACTGTATGACTGAATGTAAGCAGTATGGATTTATGGCAGCTTAAAGAGATGGGGCTATTTTCGCCATTGCTTCCCGGGTGTTTATTCCCATCTTATCTGTTTTAATTTGTGAAGGTGGCTACGTGGTTTCTAGGCAGGCCTCTGTTTCTTGGTAAGCCATAGGAGAATACCAGTATTTTTCTTCTCTAAATTTAAATTCTGCTTATGTGCAATCCTTTAGATGACAGGAATTGCAGCGTGGTAATTAGGTAGCTCTTGGAATTCCTTTTTAACAGTGTATCTCAAATTATCTGAAAATGCTGTGGAAAGGGAGATTAAGAAAATAAAGGGACGAAAGTTTGAAGAGAAAAGGTAAATTAGTACCGAGGGAAGGAAAGGCAAAAATGTTGTCTTATACTGAGAAGCAACTTCAGTGAAGACCACCGATCTATAACTAACTACATTGTATGAAGGGACAGGTGGAGGCTAATGCTGCGTGAGCCACAGTAGAGGAGAAGGAAGGCAACCATTTGGTTAAAGAAAAGTCAAGTTTTCTCTTACTGTTGTTCTTAATAAAAAAAAAAAAAAAAAAAAAAAAAAAAAAAAACAAAAAAACAAAGCAACCCATAATGTACTGTCAGAAAAGGTATATTTAAAAAACAGTTTTAATCACAAGTATCCACTATGCTTGATACTTTTAAGTATGCTGGTTTGATTTTTTTTTTTTTGGCTTTTTTGTGTTATTACGAACTATTTATTGTCTGAGAAAACACAAAGACACAAAACCAACATATGAGTCTTATAGTACTTTTCTGCAGCATAACAAGCCATGTAATATTTGGAATGTTGTTGGATATAAACAATTCCAAAACTGTTCAATGTGAAATTTAAAACTTTTGCAGTCTCCTGAGGGAGAGTCTTTCAGTACATTTTCAACAATATTTAACAACTTCATGGGTGTGAGTTTGGATTTTGGTTTTTTGTTTGTTTGTTTTTTTAAAGAGTCAGAGAACAGCTCAGGTTGTATGATCTTGCAAGAAGTTTTGTAACACAAGTTATGAAGTTTCTGGAGTCCGAAAGAGTTCTCCAAAGTGAAATACATTTTATGTATAAATTTTAGTTCAAAAACTGTGTGAAAATGAACACAACAAACATGATTTTCACTTCTGTTGAAGACAGTTTCCGTTGTGTTGACAGTTAAACATGTTCTCAGTTACAGAAATGATTTTTATTTTTTTTTATCAGTAATGTTGTACATATTTCAGGTTAAAACATTGATTACAAAAGGTAGAAAGAAGGGAAGATTACTAGATGCTGTGGGACTATGAACAGCAGAAGAATGGATTTATGGCAGCTTAAAGAGATGGGGCTATTTTTGCCTTTGCTTCCTGGGTATTTATTCCCACCTTATCTGTTACACTGGCACTTTCTTTTATCTGGTGCATGATGAATCAGATTAGGGAATTGATCTGGGAGAAGCTGTCTGACCCCGTTCACTGGTGAAAAGGAGCATGTGGAAGACACACGGCAGTGCTGTAGGTTTGTGCTGGATTAAATTTGTGGGACTTCCACACCACTGAGTCTTTCTCCAGATCCCTAAACTAGGAGAGGAGCACAAATCTCATGTATTAGCAGTATTCCTATGCACTTTTACTGTATTTATTAATGATTAAACTGTGCATTTCAGTTGTAAAGAGCAATTCAGAAACAGAATACATCTGTCTAAACCTCTAGGACAAACCTGGTCCATCTAAAGTAAATCAGTGTCAAGGTAGGAAAAAGTTCTGTCGGATGTGTCAGGATGTTGATAGAAATGCATTTTAGATCACCTAGTGAGATTCAAAAAGATAGAGGTGAGTTATTTTACTTTCTGGTGTTTGCTGCAGGTGGAGATGAGAATTCTATGGTGTGTTTATACGATGTTGACAACATCAGGGAGTGTGAAAATGTTAAGGAACACAAGAAATTTTTTAGTAGGCTATGTATGCTTTCACGTGTTCAATTGATGGGGTAACCTACTTAAAATCTTAGCTGTCATTAAATATTTTTATCAGGATTAAGTAATTGAGACTGCAGTTGAATATTGATGTATCTGTTCAATGCAAAGGTAAACAGAAAAAGCACTGTTCTTAACAAAGCCAAGCACAGGTATTGGCAATGTCCTGATTTTTTTTTTTTCTGCAAAAATGTGGGTGCTTTTTAAAAATAATACTAATATTCTTCAAATGGAAATATGTTTATATGGTGACATTTAACATCACTCAGTACAGATGTGATGAAGGACTGCGTGTGGTATTCTTGTAAGCATTCTGTACCCAGCCCTTACAGATTTATGCAAAATAATTTTTTTTCATTAGTATCAGCAAAGTAAATGCTAATTAAATAGAATAAAATATTAAGCATTTCATAATAAATAATGGTAAGCATTAAAATAATAACATTTAATAATTTTTAAAGTATTAAAACAATGATTTTTTTTTGAACAGTTGACCTATTTTCATCAATCCAACATCTGCTTCCATGGCAACATGATTTGAACCAGGAGCAGAATCGTGACACTCCCCTCTTTTACTTATGGATGGATGCTAACTGAGCGCAGCAAGTGCAGTTTTCAAACAAAGAAGTAGGTGAATGTCCTTCAAGCAGGAAACAATAAGCTCTTATTAACATAATTTTAAAATAGGTATGTCCCATAGTATGTTTAGGTCTTCAGGCTCTACCATAGACACATACTTCTGGTATGAACCACAGGTGCAAAGTAGGACATTCCAAGCAAGCGTCTGTGCTTGTGTGAAACTGTTCCCGATCACCTCTGGCTTGTTCCACTGATTTGATCAAACTGAGGAAATTACTTTGAAGAAATTTGGTGAATAGTTGGGGGAGTGGTTTAAAACAAGGTGTAGCCTTAATTCTGCAGTGGTTTTTATGTTTCTTTGAAAATTGTTGACAAACAGTTTTGTTTCTGATGACTATTTCTTTTTAATTTAGACTCTCATAAATTTGAAGAATGCTAGTTAAATCCACTTCAGGACTACTCTGAAAGCTGAGTCCAAAAAATCAGTTTTATGTACAACTCTTAGTAGTGATTTTTTTAAAAAAAAAAAAAAAAACAACAAAACAAAAACCAAACAGTACATGAGTAGGGGTGGTTTTGAAGCAATATTTGTAAAGTACAGCTTAACATGAGCGTATCCTAATCTCCAAAAGTAACTCATTGTGTATCCAGCACTCAAATGTAGGAAACTAATGGAAAGCTTTTATGCAGAGGTGCACTTAGCCTGGATGTTTTATGTCACATTGAGGCGTCTGGGGATTAGCTTGGAAATACTACGTAATAATGAAGCTGATAGCTGTAGTATAAAATCTGACTTTACAGTCTTCAAATATGATTTTGGGAAGAATGTAAATCAGCTCTGGTATAGATAAAAATGAGGACCTTAGCGTAATGACAGGACTAGTGTATTTGTACTAAACATGGCTTAACAAACAGTTGGGCTGTGTGCATTTGATTTCATGGAGTCCTCATAAAGATTTTATATAGATCTTCATGAGCTTCATAAAAAAAAATATATATATATTTAAAAGTCAGTTCTGTAAGAGGTATGGAGTGGAATAAGGGAAGTAACCCTTTCTTAAGCTTTGTTTTTTCTGGGTGAGGAGGAGCTGACAGTCCATTTATCAAAGACTGGAAAGCAGGAATCATAGCTTGTTAATAAAGCTGAAAAGTTCGTGGTGTTATGTTTAAAAGTGATACCTGATCCAAAATCAAAGTGGTTGAGAGTTTCCTGGTACATCTGCTTTTCTCTGGAGTTCCATTTTATTCAGTACATTTCTTCATCACAGGGCTCCTGGTGTATACTAGAAGCTCTTTGAGCTTCTGCTGAGCACCCTTAATATAATGCCCCCAACACTCAGTCAGCTCAGCAGTAAACTTGACGGTTGTTTCTGAAATGACGTGCCAAAGAAACTGGGAGACACTACCAGAGTCGAGCAGTTTGGATTCTAGTA